CAGCTTTGTCGTTGTAATCCTAGGTAATTTGCTCGTCTTGCGCACAAGTTGACCGAAACGACTCTTTGCTATTCGGGCGTGACGGTCTATAAACTGCGTCAGGTCTTCGAACGTGGTTTCTCGCCCATACCTACTGATCCCTTCGGCTTCCTCGGCCAATCCACCCTGTAGTTCTGTGATTAAACTGCGCACTATGGTCTCCAATGTGTGAAGTGCGTTTGGGCCCGATCGGTAATCCAGGTGATTCAGTGTGAAGCTGCAGTTCTGCCTTTTTATCACCAGGCTGGCTAGAGAGCCCGACTAGCCTTTGGAAAGTTTTGCCTCCAATAATACACCATCGAACAAATTTCGGGCGACTTTAAATGGTTTCCCAAATAGGTTTTTCAGAATTTCACGTGCCCTAGTGTAACCTTCTTCGGGATCCAGCATCGAGCACCCCTCGATTGCTTCCCTGGCCCTTCCACGACAGTAATGTAGTAAACACAAGAATCTGTGTCCTGGATCGGATACTCTCTTTTCCACAAAGTTCTGGTATTGCCTAACGAACTTACAGCACTGTCTTGCGCTCCCGTCGAATGGGAACAATTCCACTCTTGGTAAGTCAATAGCGTGGTTTACGCTGGTATGAGTCGACTTTGATCGTTCCACGGAACTGCTAGGCTGATTGGCTGTATGCTCTGTGGTCTCCAAAGTCGCCTCTCGCTCCCGTCTCTGGAGTTGATCTTTTCTGGCAAATTCCGCTTCTTCCCTAGCCTGCCTAAGCTGGGTTTCTAATTCAGCTGTTCTCAATCGATAGATATCATCACCTTTCAATTCTATACCACTGGCTGAGGTACATGAAACTGCACTGGCGGGACTGGCGGACCTATCAATGTCTAAGGAATCAGCATCACCCAAAAATACCCCAGGGACTTACCGGGTTACTTCCTGTCCAGCTTCGGTTTGTCTGTGTCCTCTTCTTGGCGCTTCTGATTGATTTCCTCCCGGTGATCCCAAGATAAGTACTGTAACGCTTATTCCGACTGTGAGCAACGCGTATCCAATTCAAACGAATCCCAAAACCAGAACAAGATTGATTCGTAGTTTCTACGGTACTGGATTATCAAGTCATACGCATATAAATATATACAAACCTCAACTGTACGGCCAAAACGTCTAACAACAACCTCAGACAAACCCATTTCAAAGTAGCGACCGGCGGTGTAACCGCTGGCCTAGCTGAGACGACTGAGGATCATGACGAGACCGTGTTGATGACTGTGATACATTTATTTCGCCTCTTGAAACGACTGCCACAGCGGCTGAGCCACAGCCGCCAGCTCCAGTCCGAAGATCAGCACGACAGGCGAGTCATAGTGACGAGGAACTCTTGAGGGAGGAAGGTTGTGGTGAATCATCAACTGTCACACGTGATAAGGCCAGGTACAGCTTCGTGATCACGTACACGGATGGGCCTCAACCAGTGAGGATAGCCACGGGCAGCTCCCACAAAAGCTCTCTGTGATTGGTCATCTTTGGGTCTACGAATTATATTCTCTGATTAAACACATCTATACAAACCCACTCTACAATGCAATTAACGTGCTACTTCGCAGCCTTGGTCTTCTAGCTACTTTCGTCCTAGTAGTTCTGGGTGAGGGCTAATTTTGACGTGGACCATCAACTCACCTCATGACGGCCTTTACACACCCCTCCAGATATGATAATTTCATTAGGGAGCTGAGCCAGCGACGGCCTCCGTTTTATCCTGGCGGACTTCGGAGCCCCGCATACTGTTTGGACATCAGGCAGGACAGCGGCCAGGGCAGGTCCCTTCTGTAGGGAGTTACTGACAATGGCCCAAGAGCTGGCAATACACCAACACGTTGAGGAATCAACCCGGAGGCAATTCAGTCAAGGCTCCATCCTGGATCTGGTGATTTATCCCAGGAGCTCGGACGCCGATAAGGTTGAAAATCTCCCTCCACTTGAAAGCAGCGACCAAATGGTGCCAGAAATTCACTGGCGCAGGGGTCCTTGTTTATCTTCCAGACCACACCTTGGAAGTAACCTCTGGCACACACCATTCGCGGATGTCCGGAAAGCGGCTTTAGAAGTCAGCCGGTTTCCCGTGGATTCGGATGTCCACCGCGACGTGAACTACTCTTGGGCATTTATTTGTGACCGCTTCTGGTACCTAATGAATGCCTTTTCACTCCTCAACAGACGTAGACCCCGGGTGAAGGGCCGCCGAGGTTTGACCTACTCAGGCGACGAAATCGGGCCTGGCCGCTGTTCCCATCTACCAGTGAGGGTTATACTCTCTATCGCAGGATTCGTAACCAGTGCACCGCGCAAAAACGAATGAAGCGAACGGCGTTCGAGAAGGCCTTTGCGGTTGATGCAGTGCTAGCGCCCAAGCTCCTGTTTGCATATCTAAAGCGCCTCACCAGATCGAAGGTAGGTATCCCGGCGCTGATGGACAATCACGAATTGGTTGCAACAGATGATGGAAAGGCTGAGAAATTGTCCAAGCATCATCTGTCAGTGTGTTCCATGGAGGAATGTGGACCAATCCCGATGGTGAAGGGCCCGCCGTTGTTTGTCATGATAGATTTTTTTCTTTTTGGGGGGGGGGCGGAAGTGAACAACATGGTCAAATACAATAAAACCCATAAGTCACCGGGACTAGGAGAAGTGCATCCGTTGATGTTGATGGAGGAGGCCGACAAACTGACTACACCACTGGCTCGGTTGTTCAATTTATCTGTGGCCTCTGGCAGTCTACCTCAGGAGAGGAAAAAACCGTGGTTGTTCCTGTAACGAACGTTTGAGCAATGCGTAGCCAAACTCGCAACGGATCCCGAAATCAAAAGGCGATTATCCGTGATATTCTACGATACTAGATTATTACAATAAACAATGACATAAACAATATACAAACCTCAATAATACGATCACAAGGACTCAACAACGAGAAACCGAATAGCAGCGTGTGAGCAAACAGCACGTGCGTCACGCAGGTCCTGAACAAGGATGTGTCAAAGTAGCGCTCTGGGCGCGAACAAACAACAATTGGTCCAGAAAAACAAACAGTTCGTAAAGACAAGTCAATAGTGTAGGCAAATGAGTGATGTTGGGAAAAACACTGAATCGCGAGGGAAAAAGGGGGATTTTCCACGACCGGCTGTTACAGTTCCGCTGTACAAGTGTGGGGCAGAAGCCACCTCGGCCAATTACCGCCCAGTTAGCCTCACTTCCGTAGCTGGAAAGGTCATGGAAGAGCTGGTGGCGGCTCGCGTATGTGAACATCTGGGGCGCTATCAACTGCTTTGCGCAGAGCAGCAGGTTTTCGGAGAAACAGATCATGTCTGTCGAACCCGTTGACTGCTCGTGTAAGTTGATCGAACGCCATAGCCGAGAGATATGTCAAGGACGTCATCTTTGTGGACCTTAGCAAGGCGTTTGACGAAGTTCCTCACAACGGGCTTTTGTTGAAACTCCGGGCCATTGGCTTCTCCGGGCCCATGCTCCACTGAATTAAGGATTTCTTGGGCTAGAGAACCTTTTTCACGAAAGTTGGACAGTCTCATTCCGCGCGATATCCAGTTAGCTATGGCTTCGTGCTAGGACCCCCGTTGCTTCTAGTGTCTGTGAACGACCTGCCACAGACCCTTAGATCCCAATGCCTTATCTGCTCCGATGACCTAAAGATCGCGAGCACCTTTCGATCGGCAGAGGATCGTGAAATACTACAAGAGGGTCTATATGCTCTCCCATCTGGGGTCCACCCATTAAAGTAGACAAATGCCCCTTCATGAGGATTTGTGGCCCCGATGATACTATCGACTACTGCCTAAGGAGTATTTAACTCCACCACATGCTGGAGCAAAAAGACCTCGGAGTTGTTGTCACCAACAATTTGGGGATACGAGCACACTCTGAGAGAGTTCGTGCCTCAGCGTGGAGGACAAGTGGTCCAATTATCCGTTCATTTAGGCCACTATCCCTGGGCTCCTCTTGATTGCTGTATTCCTCGCATGCACATCCCCGCTTGGAATATGGCGATCCGGCTGCCTATTCCTCTACTGCGGAGGAGGTGGCCAAACTGGAACGAGTGAAACTCACCGTCACACCACTAGTCGCAGGACAGCGTGAGTTCTTCTACGAGGAACACCTGGAAGCTACCGAGTTTCCTGCTATTGCCTATAGACGTCTCCGAGGTGACCTTATCCATGTCAGGCGAATATTCCGTGGTGAGTTTGGCTGGGAACTACAGTCGGAATTCCCACTTAGGGATAGTGATGGTACCAGAGGACACGAGATGACGCTTCTTTAGGTGCATTCCACTGGCTTACCGGCCGTCAGTCGATGGCCAAGGAGAGTGACCAATTTCTGAAACGCTCTACCGACCGAAGCGGTGGAAGGGTAAACCGAGACCCTGTTTAGGAGGAAACTGGATCAGACCCTGAAGAATTATGGGAGGGGCGGTGGCATCTAGCCGAGTCAACAGATTACTGTGCGAAGCGGCTCAAAAGGGACGACTTACCACTGCTCTTTACCTGAAGACTGACCGAAGACTGACCGAAGACTTACGACTACTTCAACACTTCAAGACTACTGCTCGAACTTTCCGCCTCTCAAAAAGAGAAGTTCACGGGATTTTGGGAGCTGCTTAAAGAGCCGACAACTCGACCACATGGACACATGACTGGCTCTAGCCTCACAAAATCCTGTGCAAACTGGACTGAACTGTATTGCATACTGTCCCAGTGAAAGCTCACGATACGTAATGTCTCTCGCAGTTGATGTGCCATGAGGTTTCCCGTTTCCCTCTTATTTCTAGCTGAGACTCGACGAAATACACTCGACAGTGGTGGGTGCGTAACCGGTGTGCATACAATTGAAGGAATTCTGGACTCTCGATTGGCCGTGGCCATTATCTGTCCTGTGCAAACAGAACTGAACTGAACTGAACTTGATCTGTCCGGGGAATACAATTTCAAGGTCATCGAAACGGCATGGCGCAACTGAATACAATGTTTACTCGTCTCGCCAAATTAGGCGTGGGTTTGGTCGCAGCTGGAAGCATTCTGCCGATGGTCCTTTATAACGGTAAGGTGTTAAATCTCTTTCACGCTGGTGAATAAAGTGGATGGCGGACACAGGGCCGTAATATTTGATCGTTTCAAAGGTGTGCGGAATGAAGTTACCGGTGAAGGCACTCACTTTATCATCCCCTGGGTGCAGAAGCCCATCGTTTTTGACATCCGATCTCGGCCACGAAACATTCCTGTCATAACTGGATCCAAAGGTAAGCTGCTCACTTGCTCGAGACCAAATAAAAGCTGAACGATCGGCGACACACTGTTCACAAGGGAACTAGACCATAACCTGAAGGATTACTGGTAAGGCACCGACGTTTAGCCGAGTCAGTGAAGTACATTGTGATAAGTCTCATATGGGATGACTTTCCACTGCCCTTTACTTGAAGACTGACTTGTAGCGTACTACTCTGTCTATATGGTACACTAAATGAATGTCAACAATATCTAAGACGACACTGGCAAACTAAGATGGGCGGAGGAGCGTGCGGTGATAAAAAGGCCAAAAGGGTATGTACATTAAGAAATAAAATGAAACAAAAGGTGTGACACAAACTCACAGTTGTTCAGTGTTCTTGTGATTAGGAAATGAGCGCCGAAGAGCCAATATCCGCCAATGTCTTCAGTTCAGTTCGGTCTGACAGCCATCCGTTGAACAGAACAGGATGGTATTGAGTGAAGTGCCAAGAGACGCCGTTGAAGCTTCTAGAATGTTTGTTTCTCACAGTTAGTTCTGACCGATATAATTTCAAGACACTCCAAACCAGAAGATGAGACCGTGCCAGAATGAAGATTTATTTACAGCTTTTTTGTATTGCGCGGTGATGACGACCAAAAGGTGTGTGTGTTTTACATTAAAACGCCGGTACAACAAAGGAGTGTCGCACCAAGGGACGTTGAAAATCATGGGAAAAGTCGGAAATGTACAGGTACCTACAGACTACAATTGACAAACATCAGATATGCAAATTTCCCAAGATTCCTTCAATGACACGTTTTGGATCAGACATTATCGCTTTAGGTGCAATCCATGGTTGGGTTCCTAAGTAACGAGCCCTATGGCAACAAACTCGGATGGAATCTTATAATATTCTGTCGATGAAAATTGTATCCATGTATGAACGGTTTTATTCCCCCCCTGAAATGTTAGCTTGGGGGTAGCCTCTGGTTTGCCCCAATCATTTGGGACAACGTACTACTTTGGTACGTTCCAACCAAACTATGCACTTTGTAAGCCACTCACTATACCTCACTACATTGATGCGAGTCAATATATGTGTACTGATGTGAAAGCAGTCGTAGACATGGCTCTAGTGCTGCAACACAGAAATTAAGAATCTAACAGGCAACACATTTGGAGTAGTTTTAATCAATGTTCGTGTATCATTTTTTCCCCAAGGGTGTTCCTTCTGAATGTTGCATAACATTTGCGCCAGTAACATGGACACAAAACCAGGCACCTTAATGTACGATAGGCGACTATCTTCGTTCCCAAGGCTTGATTACCACCTCGCCGACCAGAGGTTCGAGTCCTCGCCATCACTGGTTATTTTTGTGGGAAACAGCAGACGGCTCGTTACCACACCTGACCTATTGGAATCTTGTGATTCTTCATCACTCACGTCTCCGGGTCTGGTTTCCAGTTATCCCTAATATTGCATTAGGCCTTTGTGACTATGGAGTGTATGCCCCTTCAAATGCACTCAGGCGTAAGCATATGATAGAAAAGTCTAGGTGTCGGTACTGACATCAACTTAACGCAAAATATTTGCCGCCGCGCTTCAGGCAAAGGCCATAGTGCGCTTACGGTAAGAAAGTTTATATAATTATTTGAGTAGCTAGAGGCGATGCAGTGTTACCATATGTAGAGGCTGACTGCGCGCCCAGCACAATAGAATCTTTCAGTGGAGACGCATCCCCAAGCTACTTGCGTGTGTCTACGAGCCCAGCTGATCTCTAGTGCAAGCTTTGCCTGTATTATAGTAGCGATTGATTGGACGCACGCCATACGCAAATATTTCAATCTCCAGGCTCTCCAGAGCATTTCATGGCCTCAACATGTTGTCCAGTAAGGCAATGTCGGTATATTCCTAGTCAAAAAATATTTTCCAGACTGCAGTGCGAACTTTGATTGACTAGACCACCGTGAAACGTAACCTATGACGGAACTGGAGACGAACAACGGATGTAAAGCTGCCTTGTCTCCGTCGGAGAAAGCAAACAAAAGTGAGCTCATTTCACTCACCAGTATAGCTAAGGTTAATCTGGTGACCTCTGAACTGTTTGACCCACCGTAAGCCTAAGCCTCGGACCTAGTCACTGCAGTCGACGAAACTGGAAAAAGCGTGTGTGTCGAAACATCGTCTCCCTATTCTATCGTGCCACTTCATTTTCGAGTTTCATCAGAAGCACCAATAACCAAGCATCGACATTTTGTGGTCTTCGGCCCTTGCTTTGTGAAAGGAGCCCGGTAGACACAAACGTTGGTCCGAAGACAGATTTCACTGCGAGTCCACAAAGTTCGTCGTTACTGAAAAAATGCTTCCATGGTGTTGTCAATCCGCACTATTACTTCATCCTTTGCCTGGCCATTCGGAAGCGAAATTGAGACTAGGTACTTGATTGACCAAACGTATTCGATTGACTGACTATTGGTTAACAGATGTTAAGCTAAAGACCTTGTGCAGGTTGAAAAACCGTTGGCTTCTAGCCCGGTGGATTGCGTGAAGAAATCGATTCTGTGAAAGATTGGTTGGAGCGTGGTTGGGAAGTCTAGCATGGCAATATCATCCGCTACCTTGAGGTCCGAAAGGTGTGTTCTCTTGTTCAACTTGACACTAGGGTAGTCAGCCAGTGTATGATTTACTGTTCAGCTGATGGTGCAGTTACGCAACACCGGTATATAAGGCAGCTCTATCGGACTCGGGTACTAAGTAGGAAACTGGACGATTCTTCGTCATATATACATACCCGCACGCTAGTGAACCGATGCTATACCACCAGGAGCTTTTCGAACTTATCAATTGAACTCACGATAAATCAAATCGAAACCGATTCGAGTCTTCATCGACGCAGTGTGTAGATTGCATCCATATGGTCTGGGTCGGTTGATAACATCGGACAGGTATCGCGGAACTCTGACGACTTCCTTTCTCCAGTGCACTTCTTCTTCTGTGGCTAGTTAATGAATGTTATGATTTCGGTTGTACACGGTTGTACACGCCTAACCGTGAATAATATTCTATTGAACTGAAGAGACTAGGAGTGGATGTTCCGTTCAATGGCATGTATGTAGTTTGAGTAAATAGAGGATGAGTTCAATAATTATTTTTATATTTCCCTCAACTCAGCCATCGGGTTTTCTGCTGATTCGTTTGTTGCTGACCGATCAGTTTGACTGTGTGACTGACAGCAAAGAATGGATAGTTGCATATTTCAGTGGATTTCCCTGTTTTTATTTTGCCGCATTCTGACCACCAGAAAATGTTTCTATGCGTCCAATAATCCATTTGTCTGTCTGATCTGTCTGTCTGCTCTGTCTGTCGCTCCGTCTGTCCGTGTCTGTATGTATGTGGTATGTATGTATCTATATATGTATGTAACTATGTATGCTTGTATCTATGTATGTACGTACGTATGTATGTATCGATGTATATATGTATATATTATTGTCTGTCTCTCTGTCTCTATCGCTCTCTATCTGTCGGTTTGTCTGTCCATCTGTATGCCTAGTTCTCAGTATGCGTGTTTGAACTTCTCCCTTCTTATTTCGGGCATTGTTGCTCCCTTTGCATGTTTATTTGTATGTTTAGTTTGTATTTTTCATTATTATTTTGTATGTGGATGTGTGTTGGTGGGCGAGTGAGTGTATGTGTTTGTTTACGTTGTATGTTGTTCGAATGAGCGAGCACGTGCGACAAGGGCTCGGTGCGAGATGAATATGTTGAGTCGTTTGTGGCTCGACTGGTGCGATTGTGACACGGGAACACGTGTGTGGCGTGCATTTGCGTGCGTGCTATGTTTTCGTGTTTTATTTGGCAATCGTTTCCGGACAAAAGTCATCATCGTTTTTGTAGGTGATATTTCTCAAATCTAGTTTTTGTAGTCGTTATTGAATTTGATGTGATGTAGATTGGTGAGAAATTGTACGTGTATTGGTTTGAATGTTAGGGAGTGTTTTTTTTGATGTGTGTGTGTGTGTGTTTGTGTTTGTGGGTGTGGGTGTGATGTGGATGATAATGTGATTGTAAATGTGAATGGATGATGTGGAGGAGCATGGGCAGAGCTGTGATATGATAAGACGCTATGTTTTGTGATATGGTGTGTTGTGTTTTGTAGTGTTGTTTAGTTGTGTTGTTTTGTTTTGATGAGATGTTTTGTAGTGTGATGTGGAGTTGTTCGGCTCGATAGATACTGGTTTGTTTGGTAATGAGTGATGGTGTACGATTAGTTTGTTTGTGATCTCATTTATTGTTTGATTGACACACACCTGACCTATCGGGACTATATGTGGTTGTTGGCCACTCGAAATCTCAGGGTCTGGTTGTTCGTTATCCCCAGTAGTGTAGTGGGTTTTCGTGGCTATGGGGTAAATGCCCCTTCAACTGCACTGATGCGCGAACATGTAATAAAAAAACATACTCCATGTCGATTGATTCATGTATTTCGGTCTTTTTTTATACGGTTTTTGTGTTTTTATGTTGATTAGTGGCAATTTGTTGATGTTTTTGTGCGGCTTTTGAACGGAGAGAATGTTGTAAGGACTACAAGTGCAAGTAGAAGTCGAACTGGGAGTAGGAGTAGGAATGAGATGGTAGGTGGGAGTTTTTTTTTACATTATTTTTGCTGTAGTGTTTCGTGTTGGTGCTGTTACAGTAGAGATGAGGTGTTTGTGAGAAAGGTTTCTCTTCTTCTCGGGAACAACTGATAAATTAGGTTAAGAATGTGAGCGTGGTTGTGAATGTGTGTTGATGGTGTATGTTGTGCTAGCATTCTGAAGTGCTCGTGGCGTCTAATTCGTTTCTGAGCTCCAGAAAAATGCCATATGAAAGGGACGAGCGAACAGATGACTTTATTCGCTGGATGAGTGAAGTTGTTCGTGATTCTCACATCACTTGTATAGTTATTGTTTTGAATTGTCAGTGAAATTGTGGAATTTTTTCTGTTTGAGAATGTGTAATGTCTTCATCCTCCCCATCGTATTGCATTAAACAGTAGGGTGGGTTCCACTGACTATTGCGTTTCTCA